CTGTTTTGGGACTCACCCTCTCGCAGAGCCATATGTTGGCTGCTGGCTGGAGCTTATGGGTTGTAATTAGGGATCACATGGCCTCTGGAAGCTGGAGTATGTGTCGGTGAACTTTTGGGTATGCCCAGGTACCCCCACATTCCTTTCTGGCCCCCAGGCACTCTGCGGGACCCTCAAAGTAACGCTAGTTCCGCTTAGAAGACACCTTCCCTTCACTGGACTGTAATGACGGAAATAATTTCGGGTAGTTAGACGGGAAGGGCCCAGGCCCTATCACAGGAGGGGCGAGTGTGCATTCCTGGAACGGAGTCAGGTTTCAGAGCCTGATCCACAGCATGCTCCTCACAGCCTGGGGGGCCAGAGCCTGGCCAGCTTGGTTCCGTGGGAAATCTGAACACTGGCAGCTCAGCAGCCGCCTAATCTTATCAGGGCTGCAAGAGAAGGCATTTCGGTTCCAGAGAAATTTGAAGGCAGCTCTGCCTTCCTTCGATAATAGTTTTCGGTTTCCAGAGCCAGCTTGACCACCTCTGCTCTACCCACTAGAATCTAAACATCTCAAAGCTCTGGGTGGAAGGAGACAATCTCTGACCGCCCCTGCCATATTGTAAAGGAGAAAACCAAGACGCTCAGAGAGACACCTGGGTTGTGTGGGGATTTAGGCACTACAGGACCTTTGGAAAGCCAACAACTTGCGATTTTTCTCTCATCTGGAAAGTAGTTCAGCCTAAGCCTTAAGAAGTAAGATTATCAGTTTCCTTACAAAAGCATTATTTACCTCATGTTTGGCCTTCTGGGTGTTATGTAGACATTTTTATCTCTCTGTGCAAAAGAGGATAGGGTGATGCCACTGACACAGTACTAAGGCTTGGCCACCACCATCAGCATTACTGCTCTAGGGCCCCCCAGGAGCTCCTCTCCTGAGCCAGACCAGGGAGCATACTGCCCTCATACCTGGTCTTTGGGGCAGTGAGCTCCCCATCGTTTTCCTTTTGGCCTTCCTGAATACCTCTCTCCTGGAAACTGTGGAAAATGCCTGCTGAGCCCGCGAGGCTTACTTAAGTGGGTCAAATCCTATTCTGAGGGAAGGGGCTCCAGCCACTGCAATTGCAAGCTCGAGTGGCTCCCTAGGAGAGGAGAGGTGGACACGCAGGGCCCTTACCTCTGTAAGAGATCTTCCTGAGATGCCATCAGAACCCATCCTTAAAGGGTAGTGTTGGGGCCCCCGAGCTGGAAGCACTGGGAAGTTCCGGACATTGGAGCTAGACATTCTCTCCAGCCAAGAAACTAAGCATCTGCATCATGAGATGTCCCCAGCCCTTCATTTTGAACCTGCTTGCACCGTGTCAGGGCCTCTCTCCTGGCCTCAGAGCAGCAAGCACAACTTTTTCCCCAGCTGGATCTTCTATAATCAATTGGTAACAATTCACAGGACACCACACACTAGGCCTTTAATTAGGCCCAACTGACATGCGTTGAGGCCCTACTGCCTGCCAGGCACTGGGGATACAAAGATGAATGTGTCACCCTGCCGGTCCTTGAAGATCTCAGGTTTAGGAGGGGGGCAAACACCTAACAGGGGAGTGCAGAACAGGGGCTTGAATTCGCATGGGCAAGGAGAGGCGTCGTACCCAGTCTGGAGTTCAGGGGGGCTTCCTGGTAGAGATGACTTCTGAGATGAGTCTTGAGGGTTGAGTAGGAGTTGACCAAGTGCAGAAAATTGAGGAGAGCATTCCAGTCAGAGGGAATGATAAGAGCAAAGCCACTGGTGCTAGAGACAATGTGGTAGCATGGGGAACTACGAGCGGTGCATTCCTGGAGGAAGAAGCAAGATAGAGGTGTTTGAAGTTGGGGTACTAGATGGGGGATACAGAGAAATATAAATTATAGTTCCTGTCATAAAAGGAGCTCTTGGGGAAACCAGATGTATACACATGATGTGACATAGAAGAATATGAGAGAGTATCTTGATAAGCTCTCAGGTATGTGGGGCTTCAACATTGGCTTCTCTAAGGAGAGCTAGAGAAAATTTGCCTGCTCTGTTGGGATCTCCCCCCAACAACAAGTGTGGCTTCTCCTGGGCCTCCTGGCAGCCCTGGGGGTGCACAACTGACAGGGTATTTCAACCCAAAGGTGAGCGCACTCTGCCTGGGGCCTGCACCTAAAGGCTCTTGCTGAGGAAATCCATTTACAGCAGGTTCCGGGCACCAAGGGAATGCCTTTGATCAAGCTCACCAAAAGCTGCCTCTAAGGCCCTCTCACCTTCTCTGACAGAAGAGGCCTCTGGGAATAAACCACACTCACAGAAAAGTCTCCTCTTCCCATTCACACCTCCACCTGCAGCCCCACTCGTTCCTCCCACTGCGGTCACACGTCCCGTGCTTGCTCTGAAAAGCCTGAGTTGCTCCTCTGCCCAAAGGCAGCACAGGGACCAGTCGAGGTGGGCCCGGGAGCAGCAGCCAGCCACAGGCATCAGCCCTGGCGGGGCCCAGAGAAACAAGAAGCTGAGCTTTGCAGCTGCTCTTACACAGCCAGGCACCCACACCAGAGGTCACAGGGAACTGACATCTCCCCACATGCCACAGAGAGCTGTGGGCCTTCTTGGGGCCTCCCCTCTAGACCCCCACCTGCAGTAGTTCATTCTAAGCACATGGGCTAGATGGACAGTTCTGCCGCCCTGATGGGGCCACCCCCACCCCCATCTCTGAAATACATTCTCAGGCTTCAGGCCCCTGGCTCAGCTTGCTTTCCAGGTACGTTCTGATGGGTAATGGGAAATCCATGTCTGAGCAGCCACATTGATGTCAGTGTGGGAGACACCTAAAATTTGTCGTCATGGTAGTTACCACCACTTGTTGAATGCCTACTATGTACATATATTTTGCATAAGTTTATCTTTTTAATCCTCATAAATTCCTATTAAATCTGTTTTCTAGATGAGGATGCTGAAGCTTCAATATTATTGAATTTTGTGCCCAAAGTCTGAAAGGTGGTTACCAGAAGAGCCAACATTTGAGCCCACCCTGTTGGGTGGGATCATGTGGCCCCTGTCCTTTTTCCTGCACTGGAGAAGCGCTGGCTGCCCCCACAGTGCCTGTGTGGACTCACAGGTAGACCGCAGGCCCCTCCGCCCGGCCAGTCCTCCTCCAGCTCAGGGCCAGGCCACAGTGGAGATCAGGCGACTCAAGGCTTGGGGCTTTTAAGGTCTGACACAGATTCACTCTGAGCCCTCATCTACACATCTCAAAGACTTCGAAAGCCTCCAGTTGTGTCTCTGGGAGAAACTGGTGCCAAAGTCTATGGCAAAAAAGGAAGTTGAAATAAAAATTCATTTTTAGGGCTTGGAGTTTTGAGATCAAGAAGGAACATTAGCAATTTCTCCCATTCCCTTCGTTTTAAAGATAAAGAAACTGAACATAAGTGATTTACTGATGGTCACGCTTAAAGTCAGTTAGTGGCAAAGTCAACAAAGACGCAGGTCTCCTTGCTCCCAGCACAGGAACCTCCCTTCTACAGGGCACTTTTGATCCATGTGTTTAAATCAGCTCGTGATGACTTTATTGCCTCCCCATTTCTGTGTATTGACTTCTCGAGGCTCTCTGAAGTCCATACCAATGGTGCTTGGTTTCCTAGGTTTACCTAGCAAGTGCCATTATCTGTGGGTGTGAGATGGGTGGGCAGAGAAACAGTTTTTAATCGTTATTTTAACCAACAAGTGCCAAGAGATCCAGAGCTAAGGCTAAGGGGGCCCCCTGCCCTACCAGGTGCAGTACCCACTTTGTTCTACTAGCCTTCCTCTCTGTGGTGCCCTGCAGGGGTCTTTCTGGGAGAGCCCTTGACCCCTGTTGACCAGTCGTGTCTGAATCCTCTCACAAAGGCCTGAACTGAAGTACTGGGGAGGAGGACAAGGATGACCCCAAGCCCTGTCTTTCCTGAGGGAAGTGAACGGGAGCCTCAGGGATGTTGATACTCCAGGCTACGGTAGAATGCTCCAGCCTGCCCAGATGGAGAATGTAAGGCCAGTGGAGTTGGCAGATGTATGAGTTTGCTAGGACTGTCGTAACACATTACCACAAGCTACGTGGCTTAAAACAACAGAAATTTACTCTCTCGTGGTTCTGGAGACCAGATGTCTGAAATCAAGGTGTCCCAGGTCCACATTCATTACAGAGGCTCTAGGGGAGAATCTGTTCCCCCCTCTTCTAGCTCCTGGCGGTTGCGGCATCCTTGGCTCGTGGCTGCTCCAATCTTTGCCTCATGTTCACTTCACCTTCTCCTCTGTGTGTCTCTCATAAGGACATGTGTCACTGGATTTGGGACCCACACTGATAATCCAGGGCGACTTCCTCATCTCAAAATCTGTAACTATATCTGCAAAGACCGTTTTTCTAAATAAGGTAACATTCACAGCTTCCAGAGATTAGGAAGTGGTCATATCTTTTTGGGGGGCTATCATTTAGCATACTATGGCAGGCAACTTGCTATCCATTATAGGGGCAGGAGACCTGGGGGTTGGTAGGGTGAATCCTTGGTTATTGTTAAGCTGTATTGTGACCCCCCCCCCACTGCTCTGGGGGTGAATTACCAATCAATAGTTATTGATACCTGTTGCGTGACTAATTTCCTGCCTCTTGGGTAGCCCACATACACCCATATTGGAGTGGGTCACAGCCACACCTCTTTCTGTTCAGAGCCACAGTTAGGAGAGGAAGTCTCCAGGGTGCTATGAAGCATTTCCATGGAGCTATGAGGATCATCTCCCCCTGGTCTGGTCACTTTCCAGAGCTCCTTAAGATTATCCAGGATCATCCCCACCTTCAGAAAGGATTGTGCAGAAATATGATGTCATTTGATATTCTCTTAGCAAATACTTAATTCATACATTCATTCATTTATTTAAGGACATATACTGAGCAGCTGCCAAATGAGAATAAGACACAATAGCTGCTCTCAAGATCCGCGTGGTCTGGAGGTGGAGAAGGGGACAGAAATGGAAGAAGTGATTACAGAACAATGTGATTGCCTCTGTAAAAGCAGTGAGTAAACAGTCCAATTGCACAAAAGAAGACAGGTGACTGTGATAGTAAGGCCAGGCTAATGTGTCGCTATGAAACGCAATTCCACAGTCTTAGTGGCTGAAAACAACATGGGTTTATTTCTCACTCATGCTGCATGTCTGTCAAGGGTTGGCTGGGGGCTTGCTCCATGTCATTGTTGTCCTCCCTCTGCGACCCAGGTTGATGGAGCAGCTACCTTATGGAACATTGTCAGTTGTTATGGCAGAGGGAAGGAAAGTTCTGGAGGACATGCCCTGGCCATGGCTCTGGCCTAGAAGGGTCAGAACTAGCCACGTGGCTCCACTCACCCACAGAGATGTCCCCCTATGTTCCCCAAATGCTGAGAGCTAGAGATATTTCATGAATGTCGTTAGTGTCCTGGTGGAGTCTTAGAGGACTTCACAGAGCAGATGGTCTCTGAGCTGGGTCTGGAAGTCAGCATGTGTCTTTCAGGCTGACAGAGATATGAAGGCTGAGAAAGAAAATGTTTCTCTGTGCTGCTCAGGTCTCCTTCACTTGAAACTTACACAGCTCCTGTGGTTGGAGATGTTCCTGATGAAAATGAAAGCTGCTTTGCCAGCACAAAGAATATTTTCAGTGATTTCAGTTGTTCTTCATGCTTTGGGGTGTGATTAGGAGGGGCAGGTAGGTTTGAAGGGGAAGTCGGGGGGTGAATATATACCCCATTTCTATAGGAAAACGTATCAGCCAAATATAAACATAAGCCATTAGGTGCAGCTGTTTAAAATGTTTCTCAAACATCGTAGCCTTGGAATAGCCAATCGTGTTAAACCATGCCATCAAGAGAGACAGCTTATAGCCATCTTTCTGATTTGGAAGCAGCCCCCCACGGTAAATCGGAATCTGTGACTTTTGCTACATGTAGTTAGAAAAACTTAGAATTGCCATTTTTTCCCATAAGCCTTGTACATAAGCCCTGCCCTTTGTGCCTGAGGATGGGTTAGTGAAAGTCAGCCTGCGAGTAACATTGGACTAAGTAACATTGGAATGAGGCCGTGGAATTTGAAGGAAATGGTAACAACAGGCTGCCTCTGCCCTCTGTTCCATTCAGGTTTCCTTTGGCGTATTATTGCCAAGGGGGATGCTGTGCAGAGAGATAAACCAGGAGATCTGAATTTCAGGTCCAGACTCAGTCACTCACCTTAGGGTCTTGGTTGATCCCTCCATCTATAAAATTGGTCCCTGCTTTACCCACCTTGTAGGGCTATTTTGAAAAGAAAATAAGATCATGCACGATAAATAAGATAATTTATGAAGTACCTTGGAAAGTTAAAATATCCCATAAAGTCGTGGTGGTATGGTTATTAATATGATCGTTAATGTTTAATGGATATCGTGAAAAATTGTAACAACCTTGAGTGTGTCTTCTGTAAGAGGGTTCTGGTGTTCCCTTTGCCTAATGGAAGGTGGCAGAGGGAGTGCAAAGAAGGTGACGCTGGTGAATATGAGCAAAGCTCAGCCTTCCATTACAGGCCAGAGAGGATGCAGTCTCTGATCTGTGCAGCGGTAACAAGGAAAATACTTTACAGTTCTACCCCACTTTCTTTTCGGAGCACTTTCCCGTATCTCTTAAACTAAATGGCAAGCTCTAAAAATCTCCATCACTGGCCTTAGTACCCTACAATGAGCGGAGTGTGTATTCAGCACACCCTTTTGAGTGGGGCTGGGAATGCAGGCTTAATATTGCTTCATGGGGAGGCAGCACGACGTAGTTACGAGCACAGACCCGGGAGCCAGACATCTGGGTTCCAATCCTAACTTTGCCAGTTACTAGGTTGTGACGTCTTTGTGCCTTGGTTTTTCCCATCTGTAAAACGGAAATAATAGTACCTGCATGATTGGGTTGTTATAAGGATTAAATGTTAGTGTGTTTAAAGGGTGTGTTTAAAGTGGTTGGAACAATGCCTGGCACACATTAGGTATGATGTGATTGTTGAAGGAAGGGTAGGTTTTTATAGTCATTTAGAAGAGAATGGCCACTCTTGCTTTTGGTACAGCTTTGACTGGGACCTAGTGGATAAGAGAGTATTTGAAGTCCTCCTGCAGCCTGAGGTTGTGTGACTCCCTGAGGTTGCGTGACTCCATGAGGGTGTGTGACTCCCTGAGGGCATGTGATTCCCTGAAGGTCTGTGACTCCCTGAGGGTGTGTGACTCCCTGAGGGTGTGTGACTCCCTGAGGGTGTGTGAGTCCCTGAGAGTCTGTGGTTCCCTGAGGGTGTGTGACTCCCTGAGGGTGTGTGA